TGTATTGCCGAATGGCACACACGTCGTGATTTCGAGCCCAGTTTAGGGAGTTGGCAAGACCTAGATATGGTAAAAATGCAATCCATTATGGATGAGAATGCCTTTTGGGAGGCAAGGCAATGTGAAATAAACTGACATCATTGTTTCTATTTATTTTTACTGCTGTGTTACTCAATTATTTGTCCTATTTCCTCTTATGTTAGATAAGATAAATAAAATTCTGCTATTGTAAGGTTTTTAGTGTTAAGCTCCCACTTGCATATAGCAAATGCTCAAATATCAAATAATGTGCATATTTCGGCTCCCATCAAAATGATTAGAACATCGCTTTTAAGTGGCATTTTCAGCACTTGCAATCAACTCTTTAAGCTCTCAGTAAATAATGTCCGTTCTCTTCTTCAATCATAAATGCAAATTTTTTTTTATTTTGCATTTTCATTATTAAATCTTTTATTTTAATTTCATGCATCATAAACTGAACCAATTTATTATCTTTTTGCCGCCTTAGAAAACTAACTTATTGATTAACTACCCAGCCAGTAGAGTAGCCAGGTCTGTATTGTATGGTTTTTCACAGAAACCAAGGGGCTTTTAGTAAAGTTTTAGCTAGAAAGGAAAAAATGTTGTTGGGAGAGTAAAAATACATTCAAAAAAGTCATTATCCAGTTATATATAATAAATTCCCATCTTTGGCATCAGCCCAGTGCATTCATAAAATACAATGTATTTACTACACTCATCTGATCTGCTCCTTTTAAATGTTGCAACCCAAACGGCTACATTTGCCAACACAATTTTTGTTATCAGTCTAAATAAATCCGTACACATTTATGTGCATTCGCTTAATAGCGCTTAAAGAGACTTAATTCTCTTAAAATTGTATCTATAAATGCAAATGCTCGTATAATTTTTTTCGGAGTTATGTATATGGTTAGATTATTTATGCAAATTAGTCCAGCGTTCAGGTTAAGCTTAAATTCCCCGCTCTTACACCTCTTAGGTAGTTTAAAAGTGTGAGACGTGAGGCCAGTAATTTAACCTCATTTTTCGTCTAAACTTTATAATCCTTATAATGCCAAAGATAATGCGAAGTAGTAGTCGGTTAAGTCATCTTTTGGCTCTGCGAGTTAAAACGAACAAAACTTTCGCTGTCCACAACCGAGAATAATTTTGTATAAAAAACTTTACTAAAAATATAAGGTTCATAAACATATTATAGGCTATAAAGCTAATGCAGCTGAAGTTCATTGTAGCTAAATAGAATCTGCTTTAAGAATACTCTGATAAGACAATATCAAACACGAAAATTTCAAAGATGTTGAAAACAACCATGCTATTAGATGATCTTAGAATCCAGATATTGAGACAGGACACCAAAAAATGAGAATGCATTACAGAGCCATTAGGATTAGCAGGCCAACATTGAGGATCCCCCTAAGAAGTGCATCCTAAATGATTGTATCCGCACCGACTCTCAGTCGATAGTTCCCAAATTGTTAACGCTTTTACTTTAGAGGGCAATTAAGTTGGATTATAATTTGTCATTACAAAACGATCCCCATCGTACCAGTTACATGAAAGTGTGCTGTGCATTATTTTGGGCAAAATTATGTCCATAAATGTCAACGAAAGTGATATCAATGAAATTTGCATCATGATTGTTTAGCGTACAAATGTTTAAGGTAGGCAAGCTTCCTTATTCCTGCCATGAATTACGCCTGTTGCCATCAAAGTAAAATGACATTTTATTGCATTTACATGAAGAAATAATATTTTCAAGCTAAATACTGGTATTATCATAGATTAACTGCTCCTAGTAAAGCAGACGATTTTGTTTAAAATTGCACCCTATCTTATTTTAGCCACTTTTCAACAATGCATTTCAGATTCCTCACAGTCATCACATGGAAACTGGCCTAATACATCTAAGAGCCCAGATAACGCACTTCAGTTGACCGGTAATTGGAGAAAATCCAGTTCCAGTTGGCTTGATGAAGGGGTTCGCAGTAACGAGACTTTCAGTTTGCGTTCTGCCCATTACCCAGTAGATTCATATGCTGTCTCTAGGTCAGCAATAGTTCCAGCTCTGCGACCAGCCAGCCGAGGACATCCCCGAGGTTTTGACAACAGCTACTCAGGTCTACGACCCAGTCCAGTCACCCGGGGTGGGACTCGAGCCCAAATCTGTAGGTGGTCAATGGCGGTCTGGTTCCTTGTGACGCTTTTGACTTGACCTCCATCACCGATAAACCTCTGAGCCGATGCACGAAACGTGAATTACTAAGACTGCATTCACAAAAAGCTTGAAAACAAGGTCTGGGTCAACTTGCTCGTCCGCTGCCCACCAGAACCGATCATTCAGCTGTAGAATATTAGTTTCGGAGCTCAAAGATACAGGCCCTGGTTGCCAGTATTTTGCCGGGTTTTGAAGAAAACGTACCCGGGTCCCACAGCAATTAATACTTTTGAGGGCCTCACAGTTACAGGACAATACTATTTTCCTCTAAGTCAATAAGAGGACGACAAGTACACCTG